CCTTCCCTACTGAATAACAAAGACTGCACATCTGACAGTCTCCACAGGGATTGCCTGTTAGTGCACAGGATACTTGAAAGCATTATTAGACAGGTCAACTTCCTCCAGTTTGGCCCCTCTACGGATGTTATCTCAGTTACTAGAATAGGCTCTGTGATAAAAATATTTTAGCTGCTCTCCATTGATTTTAGTGGGCTACTAAAAAATCGTCATATAAAAATTATAGACAATTGTGTTTGGTTTGCTTTGTGCAGTCAAAAATACCTAACTTTACTGTATTTTAGAAATGGAAAATCTGTATAATCTAACCACTTTAAGTACACGGTATCTGTCTTATTACTGTATCTTACGGTATCTTACTTATTACTAGATATTTTAACATTTAAAGTTGAAGAACAAATCCAAGCTTCACAATTCTAAAGTTACCCAGTAACTACTGGAAAAGGCTTAACACTGGTTTCAGCAAGAAGAAATAACTCTATATGGATGTAAGAAACTTCAAAATAGTAACTTGGCTCAAATTTTAAAAATATATTTTATCCTTATTTTGTTAAGAATACTTTTTAGATTTATTTTTTTTTTTATGATGGTCACCAAGGAGATTTTACACTGAATTTACTGAGAACTTAAAGATAAATAAAATTTAACAATACAGAATATATGTTTTGTTTCTATTCAATTCCTAGAAAAACATGTTGGTTTTAAATAGCATCTCCATTTAAAGAGGAAGCAGTAAGGAACAGACGAACGCTAAATCGTGCTTCTCATCATTGAAGTTCTTCATTTGTTTAAAATAGCTGGATCATCGACTCTCTTGATTTTCCAACTCCGACCCATTTAACTAGGGAGGAAAACACATCTATTAGAACAAAGTGAGAGTAAAGATAATAATCAATGAACTGGAGTATTTTTTAGCTTTCATCACGCTTCATGACAAACTGGCCAACTTTGTGCTGAAACACAATGCTAGGAAGTTTTTCTGTCAAAAATCGCTGTACTCCTGCTGCATTACCAGACTAGAAGTGTGATATATTGAAATTTGTAAGCATAACCAATTCTACCATAAACACGAAGCACTGCAGATGGAAGGCCTAACAGAAGGTCAAGCATGTTTGTTGCCAGTTTAACTGTTGTTTTCTTGAGTGATAGGGTATCTAGCTCAGTCCCTGCAGAGAGGAAGCAAGAGATCTGCCAGACCGTGATGTTTTCTTGATGTGGACCAGGAGACAGTGATGCACAGATGCTATAATATTGTTAAACATAAGGCTGCAATTAAAAACCTTATCCAGTGTGAGCAGCCACCCCAAATACCATACTATAACTGTTCCACTACAATTTTTATTGCCCATGGATACCATAGTACTGACCATAGGTAGGTCTCCTTCCGCCATCAAACCCACCAAGGAACCCTGCCTTCACGCTGAGAACCAGAGAAAAAAAATAAGGGGAACTTTACGTATCCCATCTCCCACATCTGTGTCCATGACCACACACAGGCCGTTCACCGAGTTTCAGGCTCTGCTATTATATGCTTCCTCATGCATGAACAATACTGGAATTCCTATAGTTGAAACTCGCTCACGCTCCCCAAATGTGACCTCTGAGGTGCTTTATGGAAAACAAAAATCACACATGCCAGTTTTCCAAATTTGCTCCTGTGGAAATTCCCTTCTGAATTCCACCATTCATGCCATACCTAGCTCTTGGCACCTCCGGAGCTCTAACAATTAGATTTTAAGAAAACTGGATGGCTTAATCTTTGAAGACTGATCATGTTAAGAGTCTCAGTTTTTCAAAGTGGCAGAATTAGGCTAAACAATTAATTATGCAACACATCTCCTTCTACGGGTAAGTGTGGAATAGAGAAAAAGAAAGAAAAAAAGAGAAGTCTGTGTTCAAACAGGGATGCAGTGCAGGAAGTAAAGTGAAAAGACGGGATAAAGGGAGGACGTTAGCCTAACTACACACTGAAGCATGGTGCAGTAATCCCAAAGTTTTCAATGGCAGAAGGCGGCAGTTTGCCAAGAACAATAAACGTTTATCTTTCCTCTGGTTAAATCCTTGTCAGCAGCAGCTTGGAGCTCTCTCTCTCTGCAGCACTGTAGACCTGCCCGCAGAACACCACCCTCTGCTGCTTTTCGGCGAGCTGTCATTTACCATAATCAGCCCAACCACAGGTGCCTCCCTTGCCTCCTGCCCCGATCAAGCCACTCCCTGACTAACGAATTGAGCACTTCTACATAGGTGTTCCTATCTGCTGTGGCATCCTCATATGTACCTCTACAGAAAGATTTACCTGGCACTCCAACATGGTTCTCCACACATCGGATGTAATTCTGGGCCTTGGGTGGGAGGTCCTCCCATTTTCGTGCACCGGTTGTGTCAGTCTTCCACCCAGGCATTGTTTCATACTCTACTTCTACCTTCTGCAGTATCTCCTGATTAGCTGTGGGAGAACAATTTTTATCACAGTTGACTTTTGCCACTCCACCTTAGAACAACACACCTAATCATTCTTGACCAAAAAAGTCTTTTGACAACATTTAAAATCTGACACATTAAAACCCCCAGTATTTCTACTGGTTGGTTCATTCATTCATTCTTAAATTAGATTAAGTTATGTTACTTTGGAAGTTAACACTGATTCAAGAAGATCCAGGAATCCAGTTTCCTATTCTAAAATACGTAGGATGCACTCTGTGTTGTCAGAAGACTACAGTATTACTTTTGAGGAAACAAGTTATTTGAAGTTTACAGTAGTTCCACCTTTTGGTCCTGATTTGCACATAAAAAAATAGAAGTCCTCCTGTAGACAGGACACTACTGTCTCAAATGTTTTTACCTTTACAGAACAGAGTTAAATCAGGCTTGCTAAAAACTTCTGTGTCTGCAAACTCTTCCCCACTGGAATCCTCACTGTGTCCACAGCCAGGAACTACCACCAGTGGTGGGAAAGCTGGTTGCTGCCAGCCCTCCCCATGCTTCCAGAATTCCTCGACAGAACAAACCCCTCATCGTGGCACAGACTGTTACAGGTTATCTTGAAAATATTGTTAATGTAAGAAAATTACACATTATTACATCTCAAAAGTTTTAACATCAAACACATTGAGAGGCAATATGTATTTTTATTAACCACAATATTGTTGCTGTTAATTACAGTTATATGAGGGTAGCCCATAAGCAGCTTTATTCTGCTCGTATCTGTCTCATTTTTGCACAGCTTAAGCACTGCTTCTAATTTCTACTTTACTTCATTAAAGGCTGTTACCAGTGATACACAAATCACTGACTTGAGTATTGCTGACTTTCAGATCCCTGGTGTTTTCAATGAAGAAAAAATAAATCTTATGGGACAGGACATAGAGGCTCTAACACAAGATTTCATTTGCTTCTTGTCATCATACATAGAGATGTGAGGTAAATGGAAAATGCTAATGTACTGATACAGCAGTCCTTATACTGATACTATAGTTCTGCAAATTTCTATGGAAGTTCTAGCAAAAAACAAATCAAGCCTGATTTTAAAAAGCAGTCTTTCCCAACAGGTACGACTTAACAGGCAGGAAAGAGAAAAATGAACTTAGCTCTTTAGCAACATACCTGGAAAATACGGAATTCTTTTTCCACCCAATTTGTAAGCAACACCAATTTTAATCTCATCAAGGACATCAAGAATATCCAGTTTCGTTAATGCCAAACTGTACAGAAAAACATCAGTTAGAGTTACACATACTATGAATCTTCTCTTTAATACTTTCCACCTGTCTTTTTTTCTTCTTTCTAGTTTCATATAGAAACGTAACTAGAAACAAACTAGAAACATAAATCCAGCTCAGGCAACCCAGCAAGCAGAAATACACAAATATATTAACCTATGAACATCGGTAATTGAATTCACGCCTATGGAATGAATACATGACCGAGTTACTAAGACACATTTCCAAATTCTTGTCTGCTCATACAGGTGCAGAGTGTTCGGTTCTGTGCATGAAAATGCAAGCTGAATATGTAAAGTGGCGCTTACTGGGCTCAGTTTGGGGATGTATGATAGCACGCCACTTTACGTCACTATTAGTGATTATTTCTGTTATTCCTACTGATTCACAACTGTAAGACAGACTTGTTTACCAAATTACACTTTTAAAACAGCCTTCCCAAGCATAATCTGGCTACTAGAATCACATATACAGTTCAGTGGGAAAGACCCCAGCCTGACTTCCAGTGCCCGGGCTGTGCTAGCAGGTTTATCGGTTTAATGAACCTTTTTCATCTTGTGAGCAAACACACTGGAACACAAAAATGGTAAAAAACCGTAGTATTCACTGATCAGAATAAAACTGCATTTTAAAACTAGTCCAATTCTCTAGAAACAATATGACAGACACTGCTTGGTAAAAATACACGTAGCTAAAGATTTAGACAGTATGTGAAAAATAGTCCATGCTGTATGTGCTCAGTGAGGATACGATGATTGCAATGATTAAATGAAAAGACCTTTTGGGAAAGAAGCAGCATAGAGCCAGTTCTTCAACTTTTTTTAAGTTTTTGTCTCCCCATGTTTTTTAAGTGTCACAGTTATCAAAAATGACATAGTTTTGAGGATAGAAGTGCAGTAATGGTATAGAACTGACATGGAAGGCAACATAACACCTTCCTAATACTATTTCCACATAAACTGGAGCTGTGTAAGTTAAACCAAAATATAAATCCAAGTAAAAAAATATTTTAAAACCCCTTCTGATAAATTAATGCACAAAGATCATTGTTCTTTTGTATCATTAGTAGCATAAACAATATTAAGTCTCAGTTTATAAGATATTAAAATTCCCAGGGTCATTGTGTTTGCATATATGAACAAGTTTGTCTGAATGCATGAGCAAGTCTCCATCTTATATAAACAAAACTGTAATGAAACTTTTGCAACTTTTTTGAAAATACAGTTATAAGTTAATGGCTTGTGATAGTGACTAGCATTTTAGCATCAGACATAAGCTAGCTTGATGGCATTATGCTCTTGAACAGTTCCTTTAAGCAGCCACTTTTCCTTTAAAATTTCAATTTAAGATATACTTTGAATTATAAAATAATTTACCAGCCAAGTAAGTTGCTTAGTCCCAAAGAAAATAAAACTCAGCCCACTAAAAGCAGCTTTTATAACACAATATTAGACTACACCTTCGTAAATAAATGAACTTGTTGGGACTGGAATGAGAGCTGTGCCAGTTGTTGTACATTTTGTGTCATTGCACTTATTTCACATCAAGAGGCAGTGGTCCCAAATGATGCAGATTTGGTCCTACAAGTATGGTCCACTAGACTCGACCAAAGCTCAAAACCAGCCGGTTTTAGATTACAAAATAAGGCAGTATGAAAGCACTGGATCAAGAGCACTAGAGCAAACTGTTAGAAAACTGATATATTGATCCAACCTACACTGGCCATCTGATGTAAGCAAAGTGAAAACATGTATGAAAAAAAATCAGTGCTATGATATATAATCACTTGATTTGAAAAAAAAAAAGTCAAAGGAATGAGGTTATTATTAGCATTAAGACAATTTTCAGTTGCCCATTGTGAATTATTTTATTGCTTAAAATGTAACACTTTACTGGACTTATATTAATGTTACCTACATATTTATTCTGCGAAGCACAAAATTATCACTTCCAAATGTAGCGCAAAATCTGTGATGCTTACGCAGTGAATCCGTTGATCATATGAGCATATTTCAAAATGACAAGATCTAACCAGCCACAGCGTCTCTTTCTGCCTGTAGTTACTCCCCATTCGTGGCCACGGGACTGTAAAAGATCTCCAATTTCCTAAAAGGAGACAGAAAGCATGCTGATGGTATCTCACTGAAAAATAGCAGGAAAACAAAATCTAAACAAATATAGGCAAATAGCAAGAAAAATATAGTTGTTCAATTCCAAGGTTTTTTGTAGGAAAAATAATTAAATTTTATTAGGAAAGGAGTTAGACGGAGAGTAAAGCCCCTCATGCACAGGATTTCTGTATTTCAATCACTAGCATTTCCGAAATACTTCATTATGACTATTTCATGTTACAAGGAGACACCTGTGTTCCTTCTTCATCTGATAGGAAGGCCTCCTTGACAATTCAGCTCTGTTTCTAATTTTGTTTGCATTTATTTTCTTCATCTGATCTTTTTGCATCTATTGTTTTTTGGGGCAAGACTGTGAATGCTGATCAATGCTTGTAATATGTCTAGGTCAACAGTCTCCTTGACCATGCCTAGGGCTCCTCGGTTCTACCACAAGATGAGACTGTCAACTCTTGCCTTTGGGCTGAAAACGAAGAAGAAAGAAACTTTACACTCATGATTCATAAAACTAAAGGAAATCACCAATTCATTTGAGCCATTAGAGAAAGGATTTTAGTGACTCAATCCTTAAATTAGATTCAGATCACTGACCTGGAGATTGCTGTGTGCATAGCTCATAATCAATACCCTGAGCTTTCTAGTTCCTTGATAATGAAAATACAATAGACAGTTTAAAACAATCAAAATCTCTCCCCTTCCTTTTATTGATCAATTTGTGCATGACTGGCTGACGCGCACACCACATTTATTCTATAAATCGCACAGAACACAGGCTGTTAGGCACAGAAGTGGTATCTTGTAATTTAAGCTTTCCTGAAATACCCTGACAGTTCTGGTCTACAACAAACTCTCGCCACTGAAATACACCTAACGATATTGCATAAAGTGATGAAATCTGTTTTCACATTATTCCTTACAACAGAAGTGTGGTCACTGTAATATAACATCATCTCACTCGTGTTTCACTCCTATGAAGGAAAACACCTGAAGTTTATAATGTAATTCTCCTCACTTTGTGAGTGTGATTGCTTGGCATTATTATTTCGGTGCTTATTTTTTGTTGGTATACCCTTACCACATTCCATTGACCTTATTTTTTTGGCAACCATACATATTGCATTTTGTAACTTTAAACCTACGTTAATCTGCTCGGTGGGGAAGGCTCCAATTCCCACCCGGGTAGTGTACGCCTTCACCACACCATACACATCACCGACATGCTGGGGAGGAACACCAAGCCCGGTGCACACACCACCTACGGTGCAGTTGGATGAAGTCACGAAAGGATACGTGCCTGTCAGAAAAACACAACAGCACAACCCTGTTTCAGCAATGAGGAGAAACAAAGACTGATTTTCCTTTACGAGCGGAAAGGAGATTTTCACCTGCACGTTTGGCTTTAAAGCTAAACTGAAATAGCAGCCAAAGAGCAGGGCAAATTCTTCTTACTACATGTGCCCATTTTGCTTTTAAGAAAACAAATTAAGCTGTTCTTCCCCAAATTGCTTCCTCCTGTAGTGAATAATATGTATTTAGATTTCTAAAGCTCCACAGAAATCCCCCCCAAATGAAAGATTTTTTCCACTGAAAAAGCTGACTTACCCTGGCTATTTGTATAAGCACATTATCTGCGAGCAAGACAATAAGAAAATACACTCCTTTCTTATACTTGAGGAGGTATCAAGTATGTGTGACCTGTTCCAGTGTGTAAGCTTCTCTGCATTCATCACTGAGGATTGCCCACAAGGGAGAAATGTAAAAGCATCTCAATACTACTTCCATTAGGCACTGGATCTATTACAGGATGCTGCTGCTGTGTAAAGCTTTTTTCACTGTCATATGTATCACAGAAAGTATTTCCGCAACATCCACGGAGAGCCTGGTGTAAGGTTCACAGTCTGACATTCCCAGTGCTCTACACAAGTAGCTCTGAGTATCTGCAGCAAATTTTCTAAGCCTTCAGAGCTTGTTCATGGTCTCTAGACTGTGACTCTGGATTGGAGCATCTCTCCAGTTCTTCATTTCATATTCATGGAGTCCTAAGTAGTTTAATTAGACTTTTTGGTACAAGGGCAGAGCAGAAATCAACTGAAGAAGCTGGACTTACAGGTTACCTGCACCAGTTTAATACTCCCTCCATTGCAGAGGAATTAATTCAGCAGCACTGCAGTGGGTGCCTGCAATGTATGGCAATGCACACACACATTTAGAATTAATAAAGGCAAGAATATCTGGAGTGAAATTTTAACTCCACTGGAATAGACTTCAGAAAAAATCAATATTCAAACCCTAAGCACTTAATCCTGTTAATGATGCAATCTCTGGCTTACTGTGCTTCACTTTTGGGAGATCTGTTCCTATTACAGGGAAGACTATTTTATTTCTCTATTTTCCTGCTGTTTATAAAACTGATATAAACTCACATCAAAAATAAAATCAATCAAAATAAACCTAACCTCTTAGGAGTTAAATTGAGTTTAGAATTTAACTTACCAAAGTCGATATCAAGTAATGCTGCATTGGCTCCTTCAACAAGAATCTTCTTTGGGGAGCCATGAAGAGCTTCATACATAAAATACACGCCGTCTCGAACCATGGGTCTTATTTTTTCAGCATATCCCTGCAAATTTGAGTAGAAATGTCAGCTTCCCCAGACAATGGCTGGAAGCAGCGAACACCATGTTCACTTTGTTCACTTGAAACACGGAACATACAGATAACTCTAACACGCCAGCTTCAATAACTCTGTTTTACCTGAAAAATACAACCATTAGCTTATCTTCTATTGAAAGCAAATCAATGTATTGAACCACTCATATAAGCAAACATGACTTGTTATGGCATTAGAATACCATAATTTCTGTACCATTTCTATTCACAGAGATGTTGTATACATACCTCGTTTTGTTCGTATAGGCTCTATATAGCGTGCCTATAGTCTAGACACACTGATAGTGGGACTGAGAAACAGTGGAAGCTCCAAAAGAAAAATCACTGCTGATGAATATTAAAAAATATCTTTAAAGGTAGGGTGTCAGCTCTGAACAAGTACCAGACAAAACTTGGGAAAGCTAAAAGATTTTTTTAGCATCCTCTTTTCTTACATATTAATGAAAGAAGATGTTTTATCAGTGGCTCTTCTGAATTTATTTATAAAAGGACATTTTTCTTCTAACGCCAGGATCTTGAAACACAGCTTCCAAACAATTCTTCAGTAAGCATGGAAGTCTCTCAGACAGCCTCAGTCAGTCATGGCTGGAGACTTCTAACTGCAAGTGTCACCCTGCGTTCTCCTGGCTACTTTAATACAAGAGTTATTTTATGTCAAAAAAAGTAAAATATTATAGGAGAACTAAATCATCCACAAAATCTATTTTAATGCCCACAATAAGAGAACATTCTATTACAAAGCATAGCTACTGCTTATTAAACGGTATAATGAAGATACGCATTTTTCATTTAAATTAATGACTTAATAAGTAGTAGTTCTGGTACACTTTTTTTTTAATTAAAATAAACATTACTGTTTTCTTTCAGTTTCAGGGAAAGTATAAGTGTTAAGTCCTTACCTTTAGCTTTTTCAATTGTCCTTCTATATCTATTTCCAATGTGGGAAACATTGATTTGTATTGTTGTGCCAGATTTTTAAATCTGTAAAATATTGAAATTGTAACTACGAAGAACACTCTTTGAGGTCATAGAGCCTTTGACAAGAACTCAGCTTATATTATATACAGTATATACAGATAACTATAGGGAGAAAACACCCAGAACTGTGATACCTCAATGAGTGCATTTCACAATGTACAAAATTACATTTTAGATGATGAGAAAACTCTGTGCAGTACAGGAAATATACACATACATTCCTTCCAGTTTTCTTCTTCTTCTGGACAATTTATATACAAAATTCAGACACATTTAAAAACATCTCCTTAAAAACAAATCTGTATCACCCTATAACATAATATTTAAAAATAAAGATAGTTGTACCTTGAGGAAAATTCATCAAAGTCAGAAAGGAGGTCACAAATTCGAAGACCTGTTCGTGCAGCTTTGGAAGAATATGTTGGTCCAATCCCCTTCTTTGTGGTGCCAATACTAATTGAAAAGAAACACGTATATGCATAATATGCTTTAGCATAAATTTAGCATTTTTTTTTTTTAGCATAATATGCACAAATATGCTTTATACTAAGTAATTTTGTTACAGCTCTTCAATATAGCATGTACCGGGCAGGACTTCTGAGACATAAAAAAAATTACTAAAGTTCTATAAAAACAAATATATCGCAACTTTCCTGCTTTGGTGGATTTGCATAAATATTGCAAATATTGCCTTGGGTCTGGCTGAGACAAGATTACTTGAAACTATGTGTGTATATACATATATTATACGGTAATATTGGTTACTATGCTATCCTCTGGTACTACTACATCCCTTTGCACAAACAATAGGAAACAAATGTCATTTTCGCAGTTGCAGCACTGCCTACAGTTGTAAATAACAAACAGTTCTGTGAGTTATCAAACTGGTTTCTTTTGGCTTTGCCATTATTCATACCATTTCTGTCCCTATGAACTCTTGCTGCAGCCTATAAAATGATAGAATAGTTTGGGTTGGAAGGGACCTTTAAAGGTCATCTAGTCCAACCCCGCTGCAATGAGCTGGGACATCTTCAACCAGACCAGGGTGGTCAGAGCCCCGTCCAGCCTGACCTTGAGTGTTTCAGGGATGGGGCATCTACCACTTCTCTGGGCAACCTCTTCCAGTCTTTCACCACCCTCATCGTAAAAAAAGTCTTTCTTCCTTTCTCTTGATGAGGACAAAAATGAAGCTGTTTCCCTACCCTCTTGCCTATTTTCATGTACATTTTAGAAATACAGTAATTTTGAGATCTCTACCTGTATTTTAAGTTTGGCTGAAATTGTTCAATGGGATCAAATACCAATAGACAAACAGAGAGAAAAATACCATGTGTTCACATAAACCTCTGTTCTTTCAGAAACCAGAATAATGAAATACGAAAGAAATATGAATACTGTGCTAAAGTGTAAGATTAAAATTAAAATATAAACTATTATCTCCATGAAGTGTAAGTGAATATACAATAAACAATTACAAGTGTGGAACCTAATTGTGCCAACACTTCAGACCTGATTCAAAAGAGCATCACTAGTCTGATATCGAACTGGGCTGGAAACATCATTTTAATGGAAACAAGTTTTGAGGATTTGGTAGGAATTTCAAAAGGTCTGTATATGGAAAATGGAAATATGTAAGAATTCATACCGTGCCTTTTCAGTAATACCTCAGAGTTTGTTCACTACCGTAAGTGGGAGCAGAAGAGAGTCAGAACTAGTAACATTAGCAAGGCTCTTTAAAGATACATTGTATTTCTGTTTTCCAAAATTACACCAACTTTTCAAATTTGCATAATTATTAACGATGGTGCTGAAAATACTTACTTTTTTCCTTCTTGTGCTTGACGTTGCACTTCCTGGAGCCCATCTACTGCCTGGTGAAAGTCAAACACTGCAATGGAAAATTACATGGACGTAGTAGGAGACCAAAGGAGGAAAACATTCTTCTCTAAATTCCAGACATCCATAATTTCAAGACTCAGTGCCTTTGTTATCATTGATAGTGCACAGACCTTCCCATGTGAAAACAGAGCTAGTACTGCTTAAACATTGTGAAAGCATGTGAAAAATAGCTCTTTAGCAGACTCAAATTCCATTATTATGTTCAGCATGTGAAAAATAGCTCTTTAGCAGATACAAATTCCATTATGTTTCAGATACACAACTTCTTTGTATGTTGTGTTAGATCATATATGACTGCTCTGTGGAGTAATAACGTAGTTTAGCACCACAAGCTAAGCAATCATTTGTGAGTTTTTTTTCCCCCCTTCAATCATCACTTACCTATATGGGCTCTATCTGATATAATCAGTCTTTTCTCCCAATCTTTTAAACCTGTCAGAAGACATAAAGAAAAGTACTATTTCAGCTGCGCTGACTTGTCAGGCTTTGAGATTTGCTCTAGTTTTTCTATGCCTTTCTGCTAGTTTCTATAGCTCCTTGTTAAGACTGTAGACAAAATGGATAAAACATAAGTGAGAAATGTTTATCAGCAACATTTTTGTTAACAAACTTTTCTAATTTTTTACTTTTTCAGCTTTCTCATTTTGGTATGGACAAAAATACTCACTTCTTAATGCCAGAATGCTGTTGCTTATGCTCAATTCTTATTTTAAGGAAAGATTCTTGTTTAACTGGCTATACAATAAATCACTTAAGCTCCATTTGTGCCTCGGAAAATAGGGAATTTATATATATAGAATCATAAAACAATTTAAGATGTAAGGGACCTTAGAAGGTCACCTTGTCCAAAGCCTCGCTCAAAGCAGAACCAACTGAGGTTATACTTGGGAACAGAACCAGGGACACAGAAACTCTGGGTTAAATCATCCCAGTTTGAGGTCAAAGGGAGCTTTACCACACACTTTAGGATTTTATTTCGTATCTAATGTGGTATCAAATGCCATAAAACTCCCTGAAAACCCACGAAAAGACTGCTTTTGAAAATCTGTCTGAAGACCACAACACAATTCAACATTTTAAGTACTACTTTCCTCATTAAAAATCCAGAACTTTATTGCACTGAATATTTATGGTCAGAAACAAAGGCTTAAAAAAAAAGGTCTACCTGGCTGCCAATATAAAGAAAGGTTAAAAATTACTCGATACAAACCTTTCTTTTCATTCTTTTCAGCTTCTTCAAACAGGCCTGGTAAATGTATAACCACTCCATTACCTTTGGGAATATAAATGATTTATTTTAAAGTACGAAATAAAATACTTATTCTTAGAATTTAAGGCATGTAAACAGTTGCTGTCTGAAATTTCATTTAAAAAGTAAGACTAAGTTTCTCACATTTCTCACAAAGCGATCTTGAGAAATTTTTTTTTGGTAAGTCCTCAGTTTGGGTAAGCAGCCACGAGCCTGCTACAATCAGAAAAAAACAGAGCTTGCTTGTTTCGGATGTGAATGCCGGGCCGGCTCCAAAGCCAGCTGAGGTAAGCGCATTCTTGTCTTTGTTTGTGGTAGACTTTGCACTACGACTTCAGCCTCAATTGTTCACCAGTAAAAGCTCAAAGAAGTCCGTGGTCTTAAAACACTGACATGCAGCCTGTGAGAAGATATTCCAACTTTCTTCAATATTCAAGTATTTGCTTTAAACTCAGCTCAAACTACGCTGTAATACATCAGCAACGCCTTCTCCCTGCTTTTGAGCTGCAATATAGAATCTCCAAGCAATACAGAGCATTACTGCCGAGACGTGGAGGATTAGTGATGTAGTGGGCTGGAAACAGCTGCAGCTTCCTTCTTGGGAACATCAGAAATATCTGCAAGTCTGTCTCAGCTTAAATTTACGATAACATAAGTTATAGTCTTTACTAACTGACAAGGGAAGAAAGTGGAAAGCAAGAGGATACGCCATATTTAGCAGAGAGAAAAAAATATATTTTATATATTTCAATCATCCATTTGGAAATTATCAACTGGAACAAAACTGCAACTACAGTTCTGTGACTCACTGAAACTTACACTCATTTCTTGCAGTCTGTGTATGTTTTATGCGTCAGAAAGAATCACAGTTTTGGACAAGTGTAAGGCTTAAATTTGCCTATCGCTTAAATACAAGTTTAATTTCCAGTAAGCAATGCAAAATTTTTTATGATGCCACTTGCATCAAATAGCTTTACAGTGAAATATGAACATCACCTTAAACAGCTTGTAATGGGAACAAAAAGGAGACTGGATGATGACCTTCCAAGCAGAGCCCTGTAGCCTGGGGCCTATTTCTGCAAAGTCAGTAGCGATGCCAGAGATAAATGATACTATTTATTTAGCTTAAGTGCCAGGTTTTGTGTCCTCAAAGTACAACATTTGTATTTCTGCAAGTATAAAAGGAGTGTGCAAGTAGAGGGCTGGATCCAAACTTGTACCATAACTATAAGAAAGAACAACACAGTGGGAAGAGGGGGTTCGTTCTTTCAGTCTTCTAGTAGCAGACACTAAAGTGACACTGAAGATAAAATAACTCTACATGTTAAAGCAGCAGTGAAATAAAAGTCAAACAGCTGAAGCAAATCTGACTGATAGTCACCTGTATGTTTTTCTTTGCTTGCTACTATAAAATACAGTTGCAGCTACCCACCGCACAGTGTTATTTTATTTAATAAATTCCAAAATTCTCTTACCAATAAAAGAAATTGCCTTTGGATTAATGATGCCACTAGGAAACAGGTGAAAATCATCCTCTTTCCCATCAACAACCACAGTATGGCCTGCGTTATTCCCACCCTGCAACAGAAAGAAATATCGGAAGATTAATAGTCTTATACTACCGCTCTAAACTCTCAGCAGATGATTTGATAAGATCATCTTTTTTTGTTTATACATTCATGTCCTAGGTCACTGCTTTCTCCACGTTATAGTTTCCCGAGATGCTGTACTATTGTAAAAAGGGCTCAGACAGGACAATTAGGGGGCTGAAGGATTTCAGCAGGCCTGTGCAGAATTATGAAGCGGAACGATATTGCGGAGTCAAGGCAGGGCTGGAGCAGAGCAAGAGTAAATGTGGGAGTGGTGGCAGGAGCTAGAAGAGAACCAAAGCTTTCTGGGAACAAAACTGGATTGAACTACCACCCACGGAGTCCTGTCTCTGACGTGCACATTCTTTTGGGGCATCTTCTGTGCATAGTCATTTCTTTCGCTTTAAGCCTACAACACCCAATATTTCCTTTTGAATGGAAGCTTTCCCTGCCTGCCTACCCACAAACAGCTACTGCTTCCCTAGATGTTCAAGATGGAAGGTCTGTATAAAGTCGGGAGCACATGCAGTCTTTGTAGAATCTCCCTGACAAGGGATGATCTTCCCAGTTAACACCACTACTGCTTTATGGAGTCTGCTACAGTTCATACCTTATATGACCATCTACCAGACCCGAGAATGGGAGCTGGTATTTTTCTCAAGAAACTAGATTTTTCACAAATGGTTTAGAAGAGAATGATTAGACAACACAACAACTTAGGAAGAGGTGAGTAATTCAAGGTCATCAGCTGATTTGAACAGAAACAGTAAAGAGTTTTAAAAATTAAAGATTTTCTTGACATGCTTAATGTAACTTTTTCTCCTACTGATATGGTTGGGAAATCTGACTACTTGTCTGCTGTGGTGCTACAGGCAGGCCTTCCATTTTCCAAAATAGCTACAAATCTTCATGGATTTGATATGAGGTCTGAATGATGCAGAAGTATCTCGAATGAGGGCATTTACTGGAAGGAGAACAGAGACGGTCACTGGCAATCTGCAAATAATGAAGAGCTTTGGCTGAATGAGTGGTGCTATTATATGAAAACTCTGAGAAAGTAGTCATTTATAAAATTTAACAATATAACATGTTCTTCCAGAGTTTCACCTACTCTTTATTTACTCATTTGCCCATTTGTTTGCATGTAATATACAGGAAAATGGCAACTGACATCCCTTTCAAAACATGGTTGCATTTTGAAACACAACATAAGAAAATAAAAGCTACTGGCTATTAAAAAAAAAAAAAAAGGTTTTTTAAGCAGTGGGATGGAGGAAAACATTAAGAAATATTCCTTTAAATATGACAAAAGTAATTCTCATGTTTTGGAAGATGTGAGCTCAACAGTGATGTTTGAGCAGATAAGCTACTAAGGGAGAGCATAGTAGGAGCCAGAACAGAAAAACTGGTGTAGACACAAATTTCATTTGATTTAACAAACTGCTGGGTGGCTCACCCTTGGGCTGGGAAGAACTCACAGGTGTCTTGCTACCACAGAGTTGTAACTTGTCTGCAGAATCTTGAAGAGAGCAGAACCACACTGGGTATTTAGCTTGCCTCCCCGATATAAGAAGCCAGTTGTAGGAACCTGGATCTAGTTAAAGGTACTGAACTACCTAGCAGGTTAATAAATCATGCAGGAGAGTCCTTTACATGGTATTTAAGAGGTCTGAGACTGGATGGATTGCACTGGTTGAAACACTAGTTTATTTTATTTCAGCTGTTTCCAGGCTTGAGAAAGAGGATAGTTAACTTCTTCTGAGACAATTAGTTTTCCTTTTCTGCTTGTCTATAGATGATGTCAAGATGGAAAATTTAAGAGAACAAACTCCATTTAACACTGATTTAATCTCTACTACAAAACAACTTTTGCGCTTCCTGAGAAAATGGGGAACAAGGCTCCTTCAAAAGTATTTGTTATCACTAATACTATAGTTATACTCTTGAGTTTCTTAACCAACATGAATGCGAACAAACGAAACCGGGCTTGAGGACTCACAGTCTGAGACAACACCACTCCTAAATTATACTCGTGTTTCCTTGTATCCTAAAATTTTAGAAGATGGAATATACCAGTATGAGAATGTTTATGAAAGATAGTTCATGGTTTTGGAAATTTTCTGGAACAACTGGTACCCAGACAAATGGTGTCTCTTTCTTTAGCAAATACTTAAAAATACATTAATCAATCTACTGTGAAAGCTGGCATACATAAAAAAAATGCTGAAGCACAGAAACCTCAGCAGATATGACACATCCTTTAATTGCCCAAATCTCCGAATCCATTTTCAATCCCTCAGGACAGATAATATAAATCAAGAATTCAGTGACAGACCTTATAAAACAGCACTTCTCTAATTAAAAGTTAGTGTTGACAGCTCTGGAGCTGTTTTTGTGCACTGCTCATGTTGGTCTGTGTTTCCTAAACAAGTGTATTCCGAGTATATTTTTACAGTTCAGTTAATTACACTTTTACAAACACAACTAAAGTGGTAGCAGAGCACTACATTGCCCAACAGACACAACCAAACTAGCAAAATATACTGCTGGTCTGATGAGATACTTTCTGTTTATTATTGGGTCATCTCAGTCATTTCTCATGTTTAGTTTCAAAGATATTCTAGCAGCATATTGGCAGTCTAATAGCTCAGATATTAAAGATATTTATTCCTTTTCTTATTTTACTTGAGTTCTGAGAGTCAATATATGGTCTATATGAGCGTTTTCTTTTGCTGATGAAGTATAAGGGGAAGCTAAAAGTTCGTATGGGCTTAATCTGAAGATTACATGATTGAACGTGCAGAGAACTAGCTGGTACACTGTAACCACATAAACTCCCTTCTTTTCCTCAAATGGTATTTCATTAAAGTGGTGTCAACACTAACACACCTAGGGACAGTATTCTCTGGACCCTCAGCATACTTCCACTTGGACCAAGAGGCCTATGGTGTCTCTGCTTGACCCTTGCCTCAAATGCAGCTCTGCATAATGACCTTTCATTTAATATCCAGACCCAGCTATCAGAATCTGTGCTGTACACCACTGATCTCACCTGAATTTTATTTATCTTTCATCATTTGCACTTTCCTAGGTCTCCAGAGATGGTATCTGACTTCTTTTGTGGTTCTTCAAAAACTTCTCTAACAAAGGGAACGTTAAGGCAACAACTTCAGACAGATTAACCACCAGTGCCACTTTGGCATCATCTGTACTATCAAATGATGGTATGACCAGAAATAACAATTAGCATTCACTTTCAAAATCTGGAAAGCTTCAGGATTCCCATTAAACTACTCTGGTGCGGCAAGTTTTGTTCAAGAAGGAACTGTTAAGTGAGCTGCTGAAGCTCCAAAAAGCTTGAACATTAGCATCCACTTCAATCTGATACCTTCCTCACTGCTCCTGCAGTGATCCCAGCATGTTCAGTAGCAGTTGTGTCCCTTCTGTTAAGCCGCTTTAATCTCTAATGGCTCAGTTAAAACTGTACCAAATGCAGGAAATCTACCAGGTGCAGATGATTGGGGCTATCAATTACAGCAAACTGCAGCAATGAAGTGGGACTTGAGAACTAAAAAATATTAAGCATGTTGAAGACACCAGGATAAGACACCCTACTACAGTAATACAAAGCCTTAAATATACAGCAATACTTTTTGACTGTGCAGCCATAGCTGTTGTTCTCTGTATCAGTTATATTAAAGTTTCAGAGCAGATAAATGCTTGTTTCCAACAGTATTTGGTAGGTTTTAAAGTTCTTCACATTTAAACCAGGCATCTAAGAAAACAGTAACTTTCACTGAAGTCATTCATAGCCTGTAATGGTAAATTAGTATTCAGCCATTTGAAAGTACCCACATTGCTTAACAAATCAGTTTTTATTAACTTTGAAAGTGCTAGAAGTTGAGGCTCCATTAACAGCATTAAAAATTTATAATTTCAATATATTTTGCCTAAGGAATGCTCTATTACATTCGGTGCTGCAAGCTATGCCTCCTTTCCTGTTAAATCCAGCAGACCACCAGCAGTGTGGTTTAAATTCAACACACTAAAGTGCCTGTCATTCCAGGTTGGAAAACAGACTTTGAATGAATAGAAAGAGCTGCAACATGTTGTTTTGTCAAGAGTTAAACAACAGGAAACATACTAGGCATTATTTTCAAAGCAGAGTAATCCTATATGATAAGGTTTGGGTTTTAAAAAAAAATAAAAATTTAAAGAATGTTTAAGTTGGAGTCCAATAAAAATGAGATTTTTTTTTTCTGGAAGTTTTTAATCTGTATTTCAGACTTTTAATAATCACAGTGTAAAGTTACATATTGTCCCAGTACCAGAAGGAACTAGAGGAACTTAAGCTACCTCACAAAAGAGGTAATAATAATAATGTTTCAGAACATTAGTTTATTTAAAAAGAAAAAGTATTTCCAAGCTTTTTATGTGCTGATCTACTTGTGATATTGGATTCTTGCACTGCAGTGATGTACTTTGATTTTTATTCCATAGTACACGAACACAAGAACTGCATCAATACACTAAATTGAGAAGCTATTACATCTTACCAGTGTTAACCACTGTATGCTGGTATAAACACTATCTTTCAAGGAATTAATAATTATTATAAACAGGCTGGTAGAGAAGAACACGTAGTCTTTATCTTTTTAGTAGAACTTACAAAAAAGAAGAAACAAATCCACCTTCTGAAGTGCTCAGTCATTTAAAGGCTGGTGTTTTGTTCTGTATTGTTTTTAAAATATTCTCTTTGTTCTCTGCAGTCATAACATCCCAAGGTAGAAACAGAGTTTCTATTCAGAGCAGCAGCGAGGCTGTTCAGCACCCACAGCAGGAACTCCTTCTTCCCAGTTGGCCTTATGATCCATGTTTGAATAGGAAAGAAATCTGTCCTGATGCTCAGATATGTTTCTGCCTGCTCTTGCCAGCCAGCTAGTGTGCAGGAGACTGCATTCTGTGTGTGTCAGAATAGTGTTTCCAGAT